TAAAATTTACAGTTTAACTTGCCCAGGGACAAGTGCTCATAACAAATTGTTCCACACCCCTGTTGAGGATACGAAAGACTGGTCTTAAGCAGAAACAGATACAAACTATAAGATGAAGATGGGCCAAACAATAAAGAATATAGGAAGAGAACAAACAATAAAAGAAAAGTGAATACTACCGTGCTAAAACAAAACAAAAAGAAAAGAAAAAGGCTTACGTCCCCGTTTGATTGGAAAATATAAAATACTGAGTCTAAAATTGTCTATAAAAATTATAGCTTTGCTACAATCGACGATATTTCTTCTATCTTATGTAATTCCGCCCATAAGCATTTGAAACATTTTGGATCCACCCCTCAAGAGAAGAGTACATTTGAACTGTGCGGTATATCTGAGGTAGTTAATGCATACCTTAGCTGTGTATTATCCAGATTATAGCACAGAAAGAACACAGAGATGTTCCCTATGTCATGTATTAGAGAGACTATATCATATACTTTAAATACTGTATTAAATTTTATCTTAATTCCATAATATAAAATATTAAAGTAATTCAGCGCTACATTTTACTGTTATGGGCATTTTTTTCCTTTAAAAACAAAAATTGTAAATTTAACGTCAAGTTTTTGTCAAATTTTGCACCGAAAGAACATCGCTAACCAAGATCAAATATTGTGTATCCCAAAGAAATAGCTTTTAATTACTTCAAACATAATTTTGGTTCTGGTTAACGATGTCCTTCTTGTACATTTTGGGATAAATATATTTACTCAAATTTTGCCAGTTTGGGACTATTCTTCATGTATTTATGATTTAATGACCCGTTTAGAAATAAGCCAGCATATAGAGCCTTAAAGTACACATATTTAACTATAAATTTATAAGTAAAGTTTGAAAGACCTTGTTTAAAACTACCCTGGTGTAAAATAAGTTTATAGAAAATAAGAACTTCTTAATTCTTTTAATCTAGGCCAATTAATTAAGTGCTAAAATGAATATGTTCCGATTTGAATCTTTGCCCTAAGTAAAACGATTAGTATCAGTTGAGATTTATCTGTTATTTCGTATTATTAACACCTTGCCCGATGGCGACATAATTTTCGTGATAGGTAAATTAAAAGATATTTGTGTCTAATTGATCTTAATATTTTTTAACTTCCATGATTCTACTTTCCATAATATGTTTTACCTCTCTGATATAACCAAGGTGACATAAGAATACATTTATTACGTGAGAAGTATGTTTACTTAACGGAGCACCTGAGATCATGTCTGTTTTTTTTTGCTAGGTTGATTCTCCATTTAGTATCTTCCTTTTTTTTTATGCTTCTCTTGATTTTTTATAACTCCTCTGATTATTTCCTTGGTTATGCTTCTCTTAATAATTTGTAACTTTCCTGATTTTTTCATAGGTTATGCTTCTCTGAATAATTTGTAACTCTTCTAATTTGATTCCTAGGTTACGCTTATTATGACTTTTCCTGTTAAAACGTTTAAACCCGCTGCTTTTGTTTGCACCTGTCCTAAGTTAGGAATCTGTTGTAGTCCAGCTGATTCGTGCATATTTTTAGAAGAATTGTGAGTTTGATGATAAAAGCATGAAACTTTGCACAATTGTAGATCTATATATGGTAGTCAATTTAAGCTATAGACCCACTCTGAAAAATCCAATATGGCGGTCATTTTCAAGATGGCTGCTAATCAGTCAAAATTTCACCATCATGTACAAATTAAATCAAATAATATTCAAATCAAATCTTTTAAAAGCATATAAAATGTAATTCAATGTTTCTAGTAAGTCATGGCGGTATACTAGACATTGAAACTTTTTTTACAAATGGCGGAAAATTTCAAAATGGCCTCAAAAAAGTGAAAATGAAATAAACTAAGACAAGGTTTTGCTGATATTCATTTCTTTCATCGAATTGCACTTTGCAGTTCATACGATGTTCTAGGGATTGTGTTTTCCTGATACATCGAGGTTGCTTGCAAGACAATTTAATCAAAGATCCCATAAATGGAAACATTCGAACGTTTTAAGAACGCCTTTAGAATTTGTTCGACTGTGTACCGTCTGAGTCACAAATGATAATTTATATGTTCCACTTCTCCTTGTCACATTCCTATCTTTTTCCTCGACTGTGGATCAAGATTATCAATACATACAATTCATCACCGACTTTCTGCTTGCAATGAGTAACACCACTCGTGCTAACAATTGGCCAGATACTACACCCTCTTCTGGAACACCTGTGTTGACCCCTAGTTTTGGTTAAAAGGGACTCGTGTTGTTTATGCTATCAATGTTGTGTTATTTGTTTTTTTTTTTTTTTATTTTTCAATGTCTATGTTGTCATCAAGTGAAAGTCGTGTTTATCCATCGTACAGACACGGAAAACCTTATTTCATTTCAAAGTTTTAGTAAAATTTTAGATACTTTACACATACCAACATGTTTTTTTGGTGATCCTGATATGAATCATCAAGCTATTTAGATAATAGCACCTAGGCAGCTGGCCCTTTTTGAGCACCTGAGATCACCCCCTGTTTTATGAGGGGTTGGCGTTGCTCAATTTGTAGATTTTTCTGTAGAGATGTTTTGACAAATGCTAGTCTTTTTGCGTTTTTTTATCCATGCTGTTGTCTGGTTTTGTTTTTCTAATGATTTGTGAGTGCCTTGGTGTCTTTATATGCTGTATTTGTGCAATATTAACGGTCAATCCGATTGCCAAACCTTCTCCTTTAACAAGTGTGTTATTCTACTCATGGCTTCATCTACATTTACCATTTTCAAATTACGTTAGCAACACTTGAACTGTATAGTTAAATCGCATAATATCGCACACGGGTACTAGGAGCCATAATTTGGATGGGAACATGCAAAGAAACAACTGAATAAGCAGTATAATGACACCTATTTACACCCAGAAGGATCATTCTCTTAATGATCACACATCAAAATGTCAAGTTCAATCTTTAGTGTAACAGACCAGTTGTGGTCAAGTGGGCTCAACTCCCCTTATTAATCCATTCTTTGAATGTTACATAGTTTTCACCAGGGTCTCAGTCCTCGGTAAAAATTATGTTAGGATCTTTGTATAAGAATGAGAAGTACACCTCATGTAACCTCATGGAAATGTCTTGTTCGTGATGTATGAAAGCCTCTAAAAAGAATCTGCTGTTCATGAAGTACTATGTTTCCTTGATTGAACACTTGTTCAATTACTGTTTTCTAACCGATCACATCGGTTCTCAACAATGCCACTCCTCTATGAATACCTAAAGCAAAACTACTCTTTGTTGTGCTAAAAAATGTTTGCCCAGTTCTACCTTTCCGATTTGACAACCGTAAAAGATCACAAGTGATAATTGATACATGTCTCGGAAATCAATTAACACATTGCTGGATTGCTTTATGGAATGTCGAATCGTAGTGACAGATTTGATCTCTTCCTGAAACATTGTTCAGTGCGCACTGATATATAAAGGCGGATGGCCGTTTATTTGTCTTGGCTCTATATACGTGAAATGATGTCCAGACATACTTAATGTTTTCATTATCATCTGCTTCGAGCCTTCTGTGTTATCATTTTGTTAACTTATTTATACCATGTAAGGATAGAATTGCACAACTGACTAATTATACCAGGTTGGCATACATGAGTGCATGTCCATAAAACGGTTTTTACTAGATGTAAGTATGAAACGCATGGTGATATTTGGTTAGTGCAAGGAATATTATTAGTTACTAAGTTATAGCAATAATACGAACAGTTGTACAGGCGCGTAATATATTGGTTAAAGTATGAGAGAATATAAGAGAAATGCATATATTTCAAAGCATTAGGTTATGACAAATTAGCCAACACTGGCCAAGTTAGACTAAAAAATGCTGAAATATAGAAATGTTCGTACTATGTGACGATTCTTTAGCCGTAGTTGAACTCTTGTTGTTCTCAATATTGCCCACGACTGCTGTTGTAAAACCACCTTTACTGGTCCCAGCATGCAGTAGAAAGGTCATATACATTACGAGATGGAATAAAACAGAAACAACTTCGAAATGGATATCGTCGTATTCGCCTCAATGGAATATATAATTCGACTGCATCTAAATATTTGCCAAAACGATAATCATCTATTGTTTTTGATGACTGTGGAAAAGATTTTTGCCTACATCATGATTTTTTAACTACCTGTATGTGCAGCTTATTCACGTATCGTTGTCATACAAGCAGATTGATACGGTTGTCTGTTTAATTGTAACAACAACATAATCATTAAACAGAAGAAGTAAGCAACTGCCTTGTTCATGGCATGGCAAGCCTCAGACTGTAATTTTGTCTAGATTATTAATATGTCCTCTTCCACATGATCATAAAGAAAACTGTTCGAGAAGTTTTCATTCTAGTTAAGTCTAGCTTAAATATTGGAATAACGTCAGTATCTAAACGTGGTCCCTCGTTGTAGACTACATTACTGTAAGAATGGTATCGTAGCTACGATTTTCTATACTCTCTTTACAAATCTTTTGATGTTTGGCTTTATTATAAAAATGTGGCATGCACTTGGTATCATAGGGCACTTAGTTTTACTGAAGGTACGTCAAAACAAATCCTTTTGTAACGTTATATAAGTGATATATGTTGATTTTGATATTTTGAGACAGCCAATAGGTGGGTCTATAGCTAATATTTTTCGAAACACCCAGAACTACTACTATGCCAAATTTGGTGCTTTTATCATCAAACCCACAATTTTTTCCAATCTGCCGGACAATTGTTCAGTGGTTATCGTTTGTTGATGTGGTTCTTAAGTGTTTCTCGGTTCTCGTTTTTTATATAGATTAGACGGTTTGTTTTCCTGTTTGAATTGTTTTACACTAGTCATTTTTGTGGGCCCTTTATAGCTTGCAGTTCAGTGTTGAAGGCCGTACTTCGACCTATAATTGTTTACTACACATTGTGACTTCTATGATACATACAAGGATAATCTTTATTTTTGCAGAGATGGACAGAAACATGATTGTATTAGTTGTGCCTTTTCTTCTCCTTCTTGCTTCTGCAGCACGTAAGTAAAGAAAATTAATTTAAAGTCCTTATTCAAACAGGACGTTCCGTTTTGACGGTAAGCCGGTCGGAAGACGATCGACAGTCATGCTTGAAAATTGACGCAAATTCAAAATGCAGCACTTCACATTTTTCTTTAAAAAGAACGATTCTATATATATCAAAAGTATCACTAGCAGAAGATGACTTTACATTTAGCCTTTAAAATTAGACTGATCGCCGGGTTTGTACTTGCATGAGCAACACGACAGGTGACACATGTGGAGCAGGATCTGCTTACTTTTCTGGAGCACTTGAAATCATGGGGTTCGTGTTGTTAGTCTTTGGTTTTCTATGTTGTGTTTTGTATACTGTTTTTGTCTTTTGGTCATGTTTAGTTTTTTTATAATGGCTTTGTCAGTTTTTGTTTGACTGATGAGTTTGAATGTCCCTTTGGTATCGTTTGCCTCTCTGTTACATGTATAATGATATGTTTAAGCAAGTTGTGGACCAAAAGCAATCAACAGGATGTATTAACTGATTCATTACTTGTTATTTGTTTAACGTACAGTGTCTAATATTTCATACATATATAAGACGAGGACAAATTAACAATGTTGAAGCAGCTAATTATGTAATGTGACCCATAATTTTCGCCAAGTAATATAACTAGGGCAACTGAAGGTGAAAAAACGTATTTCATATTGCAATTTTGCCCTTGGTGTTGGTGATATCATAAGTGATCAGAAGTCACTCATCAAACAAAGGTACTTTTATTTTATGAGTCATTAGTATTCTGTTATGTCTAATTGTCGAATAACTAAGCCAAGTATTTGAACTTCGAAAAAAATCCGTTAGAACTCTGTTACTGATATGAACTGTCCCTATTTAGAGGAAGGCATGAGCATTCATAAACATGATAAATACCAATACATTTGTCTCGACGGGTGTCTGTAATGCAATGGATGTCGATGTTGCTGTCTGTCATAATTACTTTCCCTTTATTTTTATAATATAATTATGACCACTAATTTTCTAGATACTTTAGTTATACCTTTGATCATCCCGTGCCCGTCATTTCTTACTATACAGTACGGGGTTAACTTATTATTATTTATTCCTACTGCATTGAATTAAAGCGCACAAACACATTTTGATTGAATGATTAATAGATTGATTGGACAGTTCAACAGACTAGCAACCACTAGCACCCTATTCCTCCGACAAAATAGTGTTACAAGAAATACATATCAATGTATTCCTCCGACAAAATAGTGTTACAAGAAATACATATCAATGTATTCCTCCAACAAAATAGTGTTACAAGAAATACACATCAATGTATTCCTCCGAGAAAAAAGTGTTACAAGAAATACACATCAATGTATTCCTCCGAGAAAATAGTCTTACAAGAAATACATATCAATGTATTTTCTACTTATGTGTAATCACAATTTATTCGAAGGTAGATTAATTATCAATATTTTTATTTTATTTGTATATTGATCTAATATAATCATAATATTATTACTCTTGTATCTATCTTAATTAATTCACGTTGTTTTATTATTTAGCTATCGATTTAAGTTGCAATGTGCCAGTTGACCTGGTTTTTGTTCTTGATGGATCAGACAGTTTGAAAGAGTCAGAGTTCAGCGCTTCAAAACAGTTTGTACTTGAAGTCATACAAAGTCTTACCCTAGGAAAACAGAACGTGCAGGTAACCATTCATAATGCAGTGTGCATGTGCAAGTCATGATATACATGTTACGTTAATAAATCAGCACTTTAACATGACAAACTTTAAATTGTCTCATATCGAACCAAGTTCCAACATAATTCAGCAAATATATATATGACATACTCCTCGGACCTACATAGGCGATTCTGAGGAGCTATCTAATTGTTCATAGCAGTAAGCACAATAATAAACATTGGGAAATAGCTGATGTTTTGACTTGAAACCATACAACATTTGCCTAATTACATTATTTGAAATGCTTTTGTAAACGGTCGATAAGAAAGTCCTGTCAGGAACTGGGCAAACAAAAAAGAAGTGTTCCGTGAATTCAAAGTAAATGTGAAATATAAATTTTATCTGCTTCTGACTACAAGTTTAGCTTCTCTAAAAAGATACGGGGTTCTTCACAGTATACATAAACTACGTCAACATAAAACAATAATGATACGGAGTGCTTCACAGTATACATAAACAACGTCAACATAAAACAATAATGATACGGAGTGCTTCACAGTATACATAAACTACGTCAATATAAAACAATAATGATACGGAGTGCTTCACAGTATACATAAAAAACGTCAACATAAAACAATAATGATACGGAGTGCTTCACAGTATACATAAACTACGTCAATATAAAACAATAATGATATGGAGTTCTTCACAGTATACATAAACTACGTCAACATAAAACAATTATGATACGGAGTTCTTCACAGTATACATAAACTACGTCAACATAAAACAATAATAATACGGAGTGCTTCACAGTATGCATAAACTACGTCAACATAAAACAATAATGATACGGAGTGCTTCACAGTATACATAAACTACGTTAACATAAAACAAAAATGATACGGAGTTCTTCACAGTATACATAAACTACGTCAACATGAAATAATAATGATACGAAGTGCTTCACAGTATACATAAACTACGTCAACATAAAACAATAATGATACGGAGTGCTTCACCGTATACATAAACTACGTCAACATAAAACAATAATGATACGAAGTGCTTCACAGTATACATAAACTACGTCAACATAAAACAATAATGATACGGAGTGCTTCACAGTATACATAAACTACGTCAACATAAAACAATAATGATACGGAGTGCTTCATAGTATAGATAAACTACATCAACATAAAACAATAATGATACGGAGTGCTTCACAGTATACATAAACTACGTCAACATAAAACAATAATGATACGGAGTGCTTCACCGTATACATAAACTACGTCAACATAAAACAATAATGATACGCGGTGCTTCACAGTATACATAAACTACGTCAACATAAAACAATAATGATACGGAGTGCTTCGCCGTATAGATAAACTACGTCAACATAAAACAATAATGATACGGAGTGCTTCACCGTATAGATAAACTACGTCAACATAAAACAATAATGATACGGAGTGCTTCACCGTATACATAAACTGCGTCAACATAAAACAAAAATGATACGGAGGGCTTCCCGTATACATAAACTACGTCAACATAAAACAATAATGATACGGAGTGCTTCACCGTATACATAAACTACGTCAACATAAAACAATAATGATACGGAGTGCTTCACAGTATACATAAACTACGTCAACATAAAACAATAATGATACGGAGTGCTTCACAGTATGTATAAACTGCGTCAACATGAAACAATACACCGTATACATAAACTACTGCAATATAAAACAATAATGATACGGAGTGCTTCACAGTATACATAAACTACGTCAACATAATACAATAATGATACGGAGTGCTTCACAGTATGCATAAACTACGTCAACATCAAACAATAATGATACGGAGTGCTTCACGGTGTGCATAAACTACGTCAACATAAAACAATAATGATACGGAGTGCTTCGCCGTATGCATAAACTACGTCAACATAAAACAATAATGATACGGAGTGCTTCACCGTATACATAAACTACGTCAATATAAAACAATAATGATACGGAGTGCTTCACGGTATGCCTTAACTACGTCAATATAAAACAATAATGATACGGAGTGCTTCACCGTATGCATAAGCTACGTCAACATAAAACAATAATGATACGGATTGCTTCACCGTATACATAATCTACGTCAACATAAAACAATAATGATACGGAGTGCTTCACAGTATACATAAACTACGTCAACATAAAACAATAATTATGGATCGGATCTGAACACCCGTACTGTTATTTAATATATTCTCCTCTCCGGGAAATTTCCTAATTCTATATTCCATTCTAGCCAATCAAATTTTAGTCACATCATTCGGCAACCAATCAAAATGGATACTTGCTAAGTAATAAGTAATAATTTCAAGATTGCGTAATTATCGAATGAAACTAATAGCTTCGACCCGTGATGCGAAGCGGTAATTTTATACCTTTCACTAACACTGAAGGCTTGCTTCGCTGTAGCACCTGTCTCATATATTATTTGATGATTTTTGTGCAGGTTGGAGTGTTGGTGTACTCCACATTTGTTGGTGGGACTATTGATCTTGGAGCATTCAATACGTTTAACATTCTGAAGATCTTTATCAACAACTTACAGCAGCCTCGGCAAGGAACGGCGACAGATCTCGCTATCATTTCTATGCAAAACATGTTTAATAAAGCCCGTGGTATGTTGTTATTTATTTACCTTCAATTTGAAATTTAGCTAAATCTCAACTGCTTTGCTATGGGGGGATCCTAATGGTTGTAGTGCCCCCAAAAAAAATTTAAAATCATTTGATAGAAAAGATTCTATGAAATATACCATGTAACACCTTTTTTTATTGAATATAATCACAGTAAATCAACAATGTACAATCGAAATCATTGGCACGAACGTTGCGCAATGTCTGTCAAAGTTTGCGGAATTTTGCAAATATTTTATTTCAAAATGTTTACTAGTAACGTATTAGAAATGGAAAAACAGTATGAAAATAAGATGTGAAATGCTTGCAATTGAGACAACTTTCCACGAGAGACCAAAATGACTTTAGCAACTATATGACCTACACAATGAGCAACACCCATAATGCATTGCAGGCAATAACAGGCCACGAGATGACAAATTTAAAACAATTCAACCGCATTATTTATGTACTGTATTTGAAGAGTTGTTGGTGTCAATTTGGGATTTGACGGTCGCAACGCTTAATATACGGTACTCAGTCTGGTTTTCCTTAAATACAAGAATTTAGTCACTTAGTGTAAACATGTTTTATTAAAGAATTCGTCAGGTAAGAATCCTATATATTAATACCGTTAAAATAGAAATTTTGCAGCAATAATACTTCATTTCTTTAAATCATTCTGTGGACGAATTTCGAGAAATCGCAATTTAAAGTGCAAACATTCCTTTCTTGGGTCACTTTTTACATACATTCTATACATTTATTAACCTATTTCATATTGTATCTGTGAAAGTTCACTTTAAGATATTCAGATGCAGTTTATCAAGTTCTAAATGCATACAAAATTTCATCAAAATCCAAAATTTAGTCCAATTTTATAATACTTTGCCTTAAACTGTTGAAAATTTTATAATTTAGTAATCCAACCTGACCGTCAGAATGTACAGAAAATAGGAATAATATTAACTGACGGAAGGTCTACGTCACCAAACGCCACCATCAACGCAGCCAAGGCTGCTAAGAACGCTGGGATACAATTGTACGCCATTGGATACGGAACCGACGTCTTTATGTGAGTGTGTTTTATAAGGCATGTACATATATATATATATCCGAGTAAAAGTAGCGTTTCCCCACGACACTTTAACACCAGATGTAGAACATGTTCTCATCATGCTCATAGCAATATAGAAGTTAGAAGACGTTATCTTTTGGCAATTGAAGTCAGGTGATATTCTACAGCTGAATCTGTGAGTTCTGTAAATCTACTGTTTTGGTGTTTCGGTTTTAAATTATGAATTGTTTACAAGATACCATCCTCCCATAAGAAACAAGAAAGCTGACAAATGAAGACAATTTGGAGAAAAAAACACGTAGCAATCGAAGATAGCACATTGTCACATGAGGCATGCAAGATACTGCAAATGGTAGCTATTCGTCTGTTTGCTTATAAAATAAGATCAGCATCACTGTTTCGGGAACGTTTTGGAAACTAGCTGTTTATCTTCTTTATTAACAAGTTCTTAGAAGCGTACTCTTTCACTCCGTGATCCGTAAGCAAGTTGAGAAGTTTTAATGCCATATTATTTTTTTCATTTTGCAGATATGAACTTAAACAAATAGCGTCAGACTCGCAGAAGACATTGATCTTAACGAATAGTATGACGGACCAAGCCTTCTTACAGGAATTTGAAGATAAACTTAGACCACTTGTTTGTGAAGGTGATAAAATATTTAATCCACATGTAAATGAGTAGGAAAAATGTATATTACATTGTCATGGATAAGGGTCTGGATTGTGGGTCTTCCTTTCTATAATTTTTTTTTCTCTATTTGTAGACCATTTTTCACTATTTTTTTGTTTTTTTTTCCCTTATTTTCAATTCTTTTTCCACTTTATTCTCTTTTTCCCCCTTTATTATGTACTCTGTTAGTCCATTCAGACCATCATGGATTATCAGCTATGTTTGCGGGCCATCTGTATAACCTAATATTTATCAAAAAACCTGCAAAAGGGATCTTTTTGCAAGGTTGCAAATATATAAATCAAAACACTAGAGTTAAATTGTAATATGAAAGTTACAAAACAAATAAGAGTTTATGGCAAAAAAATACGAAAGCTTTAAATAAATTAACATTGTTTCACCATTTATTTAGCAGTTACAATAACAACAGAACAAATGACCACACCAGTCTTACCGACGTTACCATCCACAGAAAAACTAGTCCCTGACAGTAAGTACAAAATGTATCCCTTTCTACATCGGCGATCGTTGGATTTCGTCAGAAAAGCTGCAGAAAGATACCACTAGGTTCGTTTAGAAACACAATACAAAATGTATGTGATGTGAGAAGTGGTCGTCTTTACACTAAATCCGTTTGACTGATTGGTACTTTAGTCTGGGAGAACATGATTTATCTATTAGTTGTAAATGGCTTTGAACTAGCTTCCATTAACTGCGAGTACGCTTATGTCTGTTGCTTTTAGTTTAGTGGTTTTTGAGCCTCAAGCATCTTTTGAGTTAAGCCAAATACAACTTTTTTGTTTTCTTATGTTGTGCTGTCACACCACCGTCCCAGGTAAGGGGATGGGTTGAGTGATTACAAACATGTTTATTATTTTCCAATACTGTATGTGCCTCTCCCAAGTCGTCAGGAGCTTGTAGTACAGTGGTTGTCGTTGGTTCCTGTCTGTCATATTCGTTTTTCATACATTGTTTTGTTATAGATTATGCCGTTAGCTTTCTCGTTTCAATTAGTTCACATTTTTCATGTCGGGGCCTTTTATAGCCGACTATACGGTATGGCTTTTTCTCATTGTTGAAAACCGTACAGTGGCCTATAATTGCTTACTACCACTTCAATTTAACTCTGGTGGATCGTTATCTCAATGCCAATCATACCACATCTCCTCATTTATATACTAATGTGCAGTCGGGGACTGTACACAAATGTGCCAGTGGATATAATTATGCTCTTGATATCATATATATAGATTTAAGGGTCTGTTGATTAATCCACTGAGTGGAAGTTTACTTGTCAACTTATGCTATAAGATTTGTAAATCCTATTAAATTTCAACATTTTCAAATCTTTGTTCATTACTAAGACGCTTGTGAGTGTCGAGCTGATGAGTTTATCCATTTCCATCTGATTTTCAAGACAAGAAACTGTTGTAGGGCAGAGTAAACATCGCTCTCGCAAGTTTCTCAGTCTCATACCATAAAGTTTATACTTTAATATGACATTGACCTAAGGGAGCTACCATTTGATTTTTAGGGGGGGGGGGGGGCTAGGATGAAATTTGAAAAAAAAGGCAGGACAGGAGTTTTGAGTAAAAAAAAAGGCAGGATGAGCAACTTGGCAAAAAAAAAAAGTCAGGATAAACTAATAAAAAAAGGCAGGACCGAATAGAGTGAAAAATAAAAAGGCAGGACAGAGATTACAACTTAAAAAAATGCAGGACAGAGATTACAACTTAAAAAAATGCAGGACAAAATTTTTCATCCTAGCCCCCGCCTCCCTTATAAAAATCAAATGGTAGCTCCCTAAACTAAATATTATCTATAAAAAATAATCAGATTTCGATGTTTTCTTTCCAGAGTACTGTCCTAACTGTATGAAGGATGTTAATTACGGTTATAAACCGTACCCGGGTGATTGCACAAAATATTATGATGTCAGACCTGATGAAAATGGTGGCGCTATCCAGGACGTTAAGAAATGTCCTTTCGGAACTTTTTGGGACTCGACATACTTAACATGTCAATATACTTGGATGGTGAACTGTGTATACGGTAAGATGAGTATTTTTGTTATTATCGAATTCAAAAGGTTACGGGCTTATCAATTGTAAATTATTTTTCATTCGTTTGTAGACAGAACGCAAGTCTGACGTATTTTAAAATTATATGTTGTGCTTTGTGTACAGTTGTTTGTCTTTTGATCTTTTTCTCTTGTTGCCTTGGCATTGTCAGTGTGTTCCGAATATGAGTTTGAATGCCCTTTGGTAACTTTCGCCTCTTTTTTACAAAAAATGATTTTGTTTATGATTATGTGCAGTTATTTCTCTATCATGTTACTTTTAATAAAAAAAAAAAAATAAAAAGGATATTTTTATTTTTGTATCAGATCCATGTAGAAGTTTTTCATCCGGAACATTAGCCATGCCTGGTTTATGCAGTGGTTATTGGACATGCTCCAATTTCCGGGGAAACGCTACCTGTTGTTCGAGACCAAACCAAAGATACGTTCAGGGTGTGGGTTGTTTGGAGGATTTTTCTTGTACTACACCATGTCCAGATGATGATTCAAATAAGATTCAAGTACAAACACGTAAGTAATAATAGTGTCCGACAGGGTAGAAAGCGGAATATACAAATATGTAAACATTAATCGAAGCATATCATGTGTGGATCAAAGTATGTAGGTAAGGGATACAGGGTCTTTGATTTTCAACTTAGAAAGGGGTTCTTGGCCTAATTTTAATCGATTTTATGTGGTTTAAATATATTGTAGAATGGAAGTATGGATTCTAGTATGAACAATAACAGGGAACATATTAATGACATGCTTGGGCTCAGCAGTATATTCTTTGTTATATATAACAGTGAAACAGGAAAAATGTTTTTCTCGAACTTGCACGTGGCTATGCAACAACAAATGTTGATACTGATAACTTTTTTATTCTTTTAATACATTAAGCAAAATTAGTTTTGATTGACGACAGTTAAGGTTCTTCATTGAACAAATTCATTTGCTGATTGTTCTTGTTTCTGACATATGATGTAATATTTGCCACTGACAACCTAGTATCTGCAATCAGTCAATAATATCTAGAATGTGCTATCCAAAATAGAAAAGCAAATGGGAAATATCTCCATGATTATTTTCACTTTTCATAATAAAAAAAGAAAATATGATAAAAATTTTAACTTATTTTATTATTTGTATTATTAATAAATGTTACATTTTACAATTTTTACGGTACAGCGAGTCATAGCAAATTTCCTTAATTGTAATTTATGCATGGATTTAACTTTGGCGGTATCTTCTGATAGGCTTCTCTAAGTGTTTTTTGGGAAATGTGTGTCGTTTGGTTTATGCATTAACGTATTCTCCTATAATAATATTCCAACGTCATCTTTATTTTTCAGAATGTTACCGATATCCATATCAACCAGACCAGTCCAAATATTATGAAGAAAACCATGGTATCAACATCACACGAAGTTGTGCACCGGGCACGTGGTTTGATCAGAAAACGTGTTCTTGTTCTATAGCTTCCGGTTTGAATTCTGGCAATATACAGGGTAAAATCATGAATCTATAAATTTATGGCTTCGGGTTCAATTTCAATAAAATTAAAGGTAAATTTACATGCAATTATATTAACCTATAAATAGCTTCCCATTTCAAATCTTATTAAATCATAATAAAGATGCGACCCAACTAATCGATGTCATATGGTACTGATATAAGTTATCATCATGACTGACCAGTAGGGACACAAACAGGGGTACAGTCAACGATTCCTTCTACAAGAAGACGGTGAAATATTTGTAAATAGTAACACTGCAACTATATCTTTGCATCACTGTAGTCTTACTTTAAACCTTAACTGTCTTATACCATAACTATATTTCCATATTTGTATGTATACTGGACTCAGAAGCAAATAGTAAAATCCTATACCAGTTGACTGAACGCATTACTTCAATGTAGTTCACTCAAACTCATGAAATTGTGGATACAACGGCATCAGTTTCTGTTTTCGCGCAAATTCCTGTCCACCATTGAATTGTAGTGACATCACCAAATTCAATTCTAAAGTGAAATAATGAAAGAACCTAATCATTTATGTCAGTAAACATAATTATAATGTTTAAGGAGGACTTTCCGATTTGACTCTATATATTTATTATAATAATCAGTTTTATACTGCAAATAGAACCGTCGTGGTTGTCTTTTTCTTTAATATACATTTAGTAAAACAGTGACATTGTGTACAATGATTGACATGTCAATCAATTTCCTTAATAACTAGAGGCTCATTTGGGATAGAAAAATACACTGGAATAGGTCACTATGACAAGCTTCATAGTATATGATAAGGGCATGAAATTTGGATTAAAATCATAATAAGGATGCTTTTTATATCCAAATTATTGGAAACTTCTGAATTGATCTGAATTGGATATAAGTATTTATAATGGATGTGCTTAAAACCAGTCGTAACTGCATCAGACGTGATAGGGACATGTGTATTTTTCTATATTTAAAATATTTCAAACGGTCGGTGTACTGGATGTATAAGCTGTTCGACCCTACCACAAAAGGATTAAAGCCATCCCGCACCCCAAGTAAAAATTAACCTCGCCAATTTCAAATGAAGTTCAGCATAAGCCTCATACTTTTTTTTACATAGAATTTATATTGTATTATTTATGTGGGACTCACGTAGGCTTTTATATCTTTCAAAATGAACTGGAAATTTATGGTTTTCATTATAACTTACATTGTTGGTGTACTTTGAATATTTCTCAAACAAATATATCTCTAAAAATGTATATTTCTCAAACAAATATATCTGTATTATGTTGTTTCTTCAAACAAATATATTAATATATTTATAAAATGTATATTTCTCAAACAAATATATCTGTATTACGTTGTTTCCTCAAACAAATATATTTATAAAATGCATATTTCTCAAACAAATATATCTCCAAAAATGTATATTTCTCAAATATATATATCTGTATAGCGTTATCATCTCAAACAAATATATCTACAAAATGCATATTTCTCAAACAAATATATCTATAATAATATATCTCTACCATATATACGTATATAGCATGTTTTTTCTTCAGCAGCTGTACACTTTCCTGTGTTTGATGATCTAAGACGGGAGACAACTGTTGGTGAAGGTACAGGGGCATATATTAAACAAAAAGAGACAAATGAAATGTTTTTAACTTTTGGAAACCAGCGAGACAAGTCGATAGAGATATGGAATTCATTAAATAACGAATTACTTGAACAAAGAGCAGTATTGCTGAACGGAAAAGAGTTTTTCAATGTATGGCAGGCAAGCCGACGGCCATTATTGAAAAGTGCTTTCGTAAATGAACTACATGGCGATTCTTTTAATTTATGGGCGCCAAAAATGTTTTCCCGGAAAAGAAATGGTCGACGGCTACGAATAATCCCGAGAAATCCAAATAATGAAAGAATGTGGCAGAGATCACGTGCTCTGCTACAGTAAGACATATCGGAGGCCCCTATACATATAACTCATTTAGAATCAGGTAATTCTATTCAATGTATGTTCCAACTAACGAGGAGTAAGTAAAATACTAATACTAGTCGACGTGTTTTCAGGGATTCTTTATCCAAAATCCGTTCAACAAAAAATATTCTCTCAATGAACAATTATGCTGATTGATTGCTGTTTTACGTCCAATGACAACTATTACAAGCATACTCAGGATGAGAACAGGCTTACATAAATTATGTATAGAGTATGAACCCTTCTTTGTAATAGCTTTACTTCTACGATGAGCCAAGTTTTAACGTGCCGGTTGACTCGGAAAAAAACATATCACTCGCCTTACCTGCGCACATTTTTCTGACTCCGACAAGTTTTGCTTTTATTCGTTAATGCCCCGTCTTTTGCGGGAACCAGTGAATACATGGAAACGAAAATCTCGCTTCATTATTAAGACAAAACTGTTTCCACAAACATCAATATAATTTACAATGTATAAAAATAAGTTTAAAACATAAATATATGAAGAAGTTAAGGCAACATCCGTCATATAGCTCCAGACTCGAAGTAAATTATTTTTGTAAAGTATAGATCGATTTATTGTAGCAAAATTTAAAAAAAAATAGGTTTGAAGAAAAAACAGGCATAATAGTACATCTCATAGCACGTTATATCTCTCAACAGTATGTATAAAGGTTATAAAAATTGTGTTTAATAGTGAAGTAATTATGCAAAATGTCATGTATGCAATTATATTAAATGTTCACGTACAGTCAAATTAGGTTTATAATAACGGTTGAGTTCTGTCACAGTTGTATGGATATAATTGTTACGTGATTTCGTTTGAACCGGTCACATGTTCATGTGACTGTCTCTGGTTAAGGAAACATATAATTGGTTGTCTTCAGTAATTATATCCAATTGACAATCCTCGGGTGAATTCGGCTACTCTCCTTCGGAGGAACGGAATCGGCCGAGTTTAGACGAGTGTAATTATATCTTTAATGGGTTTTTTTACTCGACAATTTTTTTTGTGTTTATGTTTGATACGCAAGGTGATGCATTTCTCGAACTATTTAAGACCTCTTTACACGAAATACGTTGAATGTGTACTGCTTGATGCTTAAGTCTAGAAGAACATGAATATTTCATGAGTTTATGACTGATCCACAAGGTCATGCTTTTTTCGGACTGTTTATGACAGATACATAAGGTCATGCTTTTTTCGGACTGTTCATGAAGTCTTATCTTCTAAATACGTTAGGTTTGTACTGATTGATACTTTAGTCGTGGAGAACATGATTTATTTATTAGTTTATGACAGATACACAAGGTCACACTTTTCTGAGAATGTGTTATGCTGTCTGTACACTAATTGGGTTGAAAGTGTACTGTTTGATACTTTCGTCTGGGAGAACATGATTTATGTATTAGTTTATGACGGATACACAAGGTCACACCTTTTTCAGAATGTGTTATGCTGTCTTTACACTAAATAGGTTGACCGTGTACTGATTGATACTTTCGTCTTGGAGAACATAATTTATTTAATAGTTTATGACTAAACACACGGCCATGCTTTTCTCTGACTGTGTATTTCGTCTTTACACTAAATACGTTGGACGACTACTACTTAGGAAAACATGATTTATTCATTAGTTGCAATTGGCTTTAAACTACGATCATTTTTAGATTAGATCTTTGTGTCTTTTGTTTTTATATATAAATACTAGAACACCCCCGCGGGTCCATGACTGAATTAAAGTACCTATAGATATAAGAAGATGTGGTATGAGTGCCAATGAGACAACTCTCCATCCAAGTCAAAATTTATAAAGGTAAACCATTATAGGCTTTTTTTTAGCCTGGATTTTTAGTATTCGTATTGTCATTTGATAAAGTCATCCTGTTTGTAAGGTGCAGAGTTTTCTCTGCTTTCAAAATCTTTGTTTGAACCCGTCCTGGTTTCTTACTACAATAAACTTACTATAAACTAAATTTAATTTTTAACTAATTAACCAAAATTAATAGTGGTATTGGGGTGGAAGAAAAAAGACTTGTTAAATAGTGCACTATAGTGTAACATAGATTGAAACAACTACTGGAAGAATTCCAGGTTCTCTTTATAGAGAAGGAATTTACAGAAGGTAACAGGTGACATATACTATTGGTATCTGTATCGGATTCGACCCGGAACTTGTTAATTATTTGTAATATTAATTATGTGGAAAACAAAAGGGCCTGGAATGTTGTAATTTTTAAACAGCACCATTGTCCTATGTTAGTTATATATTAAGTTGAATTATTTGATTCGTTCTTTTTACGTCATGCCGGCTAACAAATAGGACATCGTTATTTTAGTACTATAGATATAATCTATTCTCTCGACTCAATGTACTATCATAAGGTGTAAAGAGGCTTTAATGAATATACACCACGTTTAATAAACTGTTAAAATTTCATTATTTAATTACCAAGAGTTTGTATGGTAGAACGTATTACTCGGAGTTTGAGTTAGAATCTTAATAATTCTGTGTGATATTTTCAGAAGCGTTCACCAAAACGTTGCAATTGGTTAACAACAGCATAAAAAATTGATATTCAACAAATGACGAGACGTAAATTTCATTGTTGGCACGAACTATGACATTCCCCATAGTCCTTAAAAATCTTAATCGACAAATGTGTTTAACTCTTATTATAATAGCGTTCCTGCTAAAGGTCTGTGGTTCTCTCCAGGCATTCCAGCTTCCTCCACCAATAAAAACGTACTGCCACTAAATAGCCAACCGTGCTGGAAGTGGCGTTAAACACCAATCAATCAATAATATGATAGCTAATGGCCATGCAAGAGAACAGTTTAGTTATTCGAATTTCAAATTAGATCATGTATTTTCAATGGTATATTAGAACGCAATGTAATAAACACAAATAGCATAGTGGGTAATACTTGATATTTTATAAGTTGTAGGGTGTGGCCCGGATGTATCTTATGAATTCAATAGCAATAGTGGTATAACAGACAGTTCTAGTAATGGCATTCTGGCAGGGTTCCTAAACGTCGTTCTAAACGGACAAACAGCGTCCTTTAGTGGAAATAGTATGTTAAACATTTGGCGGTTCTCTAATGTTGAACTCAAAAGTCGCCTGGTCATTGAATTCCAGTTTAAAACTTCCGGATCCGGTATTCAAAGCGAGGCACTAGTTTCTAACTGTATTGGAAGCGACCTTGAGGAAGCATCATTGCTGATCGTGGCTAACCGTGGGAGTAACACTGTTCTTTTTCGTACTGTAACAAACAAAGGAACAGCAGAAATATCAGCTCCATTCATAGTAGGTGTAAAAGTTCAAAAGTATAACACTTAAGATAATTATTATTACAATTAGAAAAAAAGTTAGTATATTGAGTTTGATATTGATCAAGTTGGTTTTTCGTTTTATAGATTTTCTTTTATTATTTTTATTATTATTATTATTTTAATGAAAATCGTAAATCAAACGACAGACAGAACCATATATAAATTGAATCGACCAAAAACTATTTTAGAAGTTTTATAATAATAACATCAAACAACAAAAGATACCCACCACCTCCTTTTTTTTAGTAAAATTTTCTATTGAATATAACCTTTATAAAAGTGATTGAAATAAGTCACAATTTTAACACATTTCTGAAGTCAAAAACACCATATTGTGTGAAAATTAGAATTTTATTGATTTTCAATTTTTGACATTAAAAAAAAAAAAACGTTTTTATTAAAAAAAAAAAAAAAAGAAACGGAAAAAAAAAACGAAAATTACTTTGAATTTGAGTTTTTTATTAAATTCTTGTCTCTCGACCAATTTGAAATGGACTTATCTTAGACTTTTGAATTTTTACTTTTTCGGTTGAAATCTCCAGATTTGCTACTGAACTAAAAATGTCTCTGTATACTCGGCATTAATTTCAAGGGTTTTAAATATACTAAATGTCTACAAATTTGTCGCTAAAACAAACAAAATGTGAAACTGCTTCACACAATAAGAGGTGGTGCGTTGTGTTGTTAAATATAATTATACATGTCTGTTTATTTGTGCCGTTTGTTTTTGTTCATTTTACGAAGCGATGTTTAGTTAAGAAAATGAAGGTTTAAAGATAAACGAACAAATCAGACCAAATTGAAAATTAAATCACCATGAAAATGAATGAAAAATATTGTTGAATAAATTTGACATTTTTGATTTAGAAAAGTAAAAAAAACATTTAAACTTCAATATTTTTTTTCGATTACAGCCTGGATCAATGAATACTGTAACATATATTTACAATGGTCAAAGGATGATATGTGCTGTAAATTCGGCGGTCGTTCAGACCTCTCTTACAGGTAAAAAATGTTGTAAAAATTCTTATCTTTCCTTTTTTTTTACATTTCTTGCATTAAAGTTGTAAACCAAGGAAAAAAGTTTTATAAAAAAAATCCTTGTTTGGGAAACATTCATACGAGTCGGTGTGAACGGCATGACATTTCTAGTGCATCTGGTGAAGAAAAAATGGTACCATTGTCAGTACTACAACTGGTTTGATTCCTCTGCTGATTGACTGTTAGTCCGCGAGGGTATCACCAGCTCGGTATCTAAATACTGATATTGTGTCATAAAAATTTGCTGTAACAAAATTTTTGAAATTATTTCGAATTAAGGAATACATCTTCCTCGTGCAAAGATCTGATTCCTTGCTCGGCTTTAGCTATACTCTTTGTCCTCTTTGGTTTATAACCTCTTCATTGTAAATAAGGTTTGGATTTTTAAATATTTTAGCCTCGAGCATCACTGAAGAATCATTTATTGTCAAAATGCGCACCTTGAGGTCCAAAAAATAGTAACATTAATGTCACTCTAACAATTTCAACATGGACTAGTTTTAAGAATGTTATGTCTTTTCCGATTTAGATCTGTCTCCCCATTATTCAGGCAGATGTTTCCAAAATTAAAATTCTCCTACACTTCTAGGAAGGGCATGATACTTTCTTATCTGCCAAAAAGATAAATCTTCATGCTGCTATTATTGTAACATGAACTCGAAAAACGTTAATAATTCCCTGATCGCAAGCGAAATGAATCTACACCGTGGAGAAGTTAACAGTCACAGTAGGAATTTTAGATCCTCAATGCTCTTTTAATCTTTCTATCCATGATTTAGATTATTTAACGACTGTAATATTTTAAAACTTGAAACATGTGCTTTTCTCAGTTATATGGAGATGTTGTTTTGTATTTTCATTTCCTATGTTCCACAGGTGATATTCAGATGAGGCAAACCGGTATTATCATCGGCGCTGCCAGTAAATGGGCGTCATTACAAGGAGACATGGATAATGTAAGTTAATAACAAAATTACAGCTGAGGATAAACATTTATATCAGAATTTGCTATGTTAGAATTGTTCTGGGTGTTATGTTTTCATATTACTCGTTTGTATTTTGCGCTTATTGCTACTGCTGTTTCAGTCGGGGTTTTTCTTCAGAAAAGACTTATTTGCATTTCATGCAGTAAAAACTGTTTTGAAAGGTTATCACGAGAAATTAAAATGAAATGTAAGGACAAGAACAAACCGAAGATCAGACGATATTTCAATGAAGTAAATAATGGGAAACTGTCATACTCATAAACAAACATGACTTTGAACAGGCATATATTGAATGTTACGGAGTTAAACATGCATGTTAGTGAGATCGTCAGATCGACTCAAAGCACAAAAACAACAACAAAGCACAAAAACAACTAACAAATAGACACAAGTCACAAAGTATCGAGTATAGAGTTCCCGTAGTTACTAAAAGCTTGTTCAAAACCAATTACAACTAATAAATGAAAATGTTTCAAACTAAAATATCGATCAGTACACATTCAAAGGACTTTAGTGTAAAGACGTCATAAACAGTCTAATGATTCAGGTCATATGTTGACCATAAAATTGAACAATATACAAATCATTGTATTGGTTTAAAACCTAATATTTCAGAATTGCATAACAAGTGAGGCACTGTAACGTATGCGTTAGCAAATATATAATGTATATAGGTAACAAGACTTGTGTTGATTTTCTTCATTTGATAATTGATTAAAGTTATAAAAAGTAAAATAACAAAAATACCGAACTCCAAGCAAAATTCAAAACGGAAAGTCTCTTATCAAATGGCCAAATGAAAAGCTCAAACACATCAAACGAATGGAAAACAACTGTCATATTCCTGACTTGGTATATGCATTTCCTTATGAGACAATGGTGGATTACACCGGGTTTTATAGCTAGCTAAACCTCTCACTTGTATGACAGTCGCATACAATTCCACAATATTGACAACAATGTGTGAACAAAACAAACAGAAATAATAGGTAAAAATGTCAAAAATAGAGTCATCATTGTGTTATAATCTTAATCACTATAAAAACAAACAAATATGTCAACAAAGAAAAAAAATTGTATATAGACAATATAAGCGACTTGGTACAGGCATTTCCATAAGTAGAAAAAGGTTGATTAAACCTCTCACTTGTATGTCGCATAAAATTCCAGTATATTGACAACAATGTGTGAACAAAACAAACAGACATAATAGGTAAAAATGTCAAAAGTAGGGGTACAGCAGTCAACATTGTGTTATAATCTTAATCACTATAAAAACAAAGAAATATATGTCAACAAAGAAAAACAAAATGACGTAAAGACAAAGCACAAAAGAACAAATGAAAGACAAGAATACACACAATGACCACAAACAACTAAAAAACAAAATGGCGTATAGACAATTCTATAGACATGGCATATAAGCAAAAATGAATGGCAAGAATACGAAAAAAGACCATAGCACAATAACACAATGGCGGGATGTATAAGTACCGAGCCACGCCAAAAGGATATATTACCAAAGATGGACTAAACAGTAAAGGGTAATAATTTACAAAGACAAATAAAAGAACACTATAACAAGTGATTAAGGCGATAAACAATGTCAGTACCTAGAATCTATACTTCAAGACCATCATGTATTATTTGTGAAGTTGATACGGAATACTTATCAACAAGGTCTTGATATCTTCCGATGAACTTTTTTAAAACACTGAACTTAAAAGCTCAAAGCTTTCAAATCGACATCTTTTCAACAGTATCCTCTTTGTTATTTGATAACTGCTACTATCTTAAATCCTCTGAAATAGATTCCCAGTGTTGTACGATATTAACGACTTAAAACAATTATTTTCTTATATTTTCAGTTTCATCTGTACCGTTGTATACCTGCCAGTGTTGTACCATTTCTTAGCATGTAGCTTGAGTTCTAGGACACAAAGAACCCTTTGACTTCAGCTTTAATGATAATAAACCCGTTTGTAGTTATTTCCGTACACTGTAAAGTCTAAACTGTTTAAATGTGACATTGTTTATGATGTTTTTTAAATCAAATGTTGCATAAAAGTTATTTTGTACTTTAATTTAAACAGTGTATGTTAATGAAATTCGGAGTTACTGTTATAGTAGTATCTTTACATTTGTTTAGTTTGTACCGTTTGTGTCTTTTGCACGATTCTTTAAATTGGATATCTAATGCAAGTGTCAACGAAATCAATAAGTTTGTTGATCAATGGCATTTTTGTCTCAAAGAAATCCTGACTGAGTAATGTCATTGATTCAGGAAACTTGCCTTAATGGGTGTCTTTCGACTTGTGAAATCCTGTGTCATCAAATTGCTAATGAAATCCATGTATAATAGAAATGTATCAAAGAAAATGATAAGTTAAATAATAAAACCATTTTCCAATTGTGTTGTTAATTTATTTAGTCTTACCTCGGGAAGGTGAAATCTGGTCTTTAACAATCGAAATGTCAAGTATAATTTCTCCAGATTTAAAATTGTCTATAAAAGAAGGTTAATAAATAAATTAGACAAAGTATCATAGATCTTCTACCAGGATTAAAATTGTGTACGCCAGACGCGCGTTTTGGGTACATTTAAAGTGCGAAACGAAACAGAAACGAAACAGAAACGAAACGAAAAGAAATGAAACGAAACGAAATCAACGAAAAAAGCAGACGAAGCGAAATAGGAATCAACAACGAAGAGAAACAAAGAAAAACGAAATATAATTAATCGAATGTAGAATAAAAACGTCTTTTTTTTCTACATTTGCATTTAATTCTTAGAATTGATGGTTAGTCAGAACCATTTGGGTGATAGTGATGGATGTAACAAATACTACATGCATATCGGAACGAGAACACGTTATGATGTTTTGAATATGAACCCTGACAGACACGCTGAATCGGATTTTATACGTGCTACTGCACCAGGAAACAGTCCGCAATCGGACACTCCAACCTACCAGGACACATTATTCAGACTCTGAGCGAACCAGTTGTTGCTCTTTTTCCTTCATACCGCAAAATAATTGAGAATTAGAAAAAAAAAAAGTTCTAGTTCTAGTTTGACTATGACATTGCCCGGTATCGAAACGGCGACCTCCTGCAATTAACACGAGCATGCCACCTTAAATCTACACAGGCGGTTAGAACCATTCTGTCTGAATACAAACTATTATCTTCTTAAGGGCATACGATACAGTTTTGATCCCGTAATGAAATTTTGATAAAAATTTGCATATAGGCTATTTTTTACCTGATTAAATCAAATATGCAATAAAAATATACCATCATGTGATACTTTTTGAGTAAATTGAGGTTGAAATTTCAGATATTTCCTCAAAATTCGGATTTGTGGACGTATTTTTCCTTTCGACAGAAATACATAACTTTTTTGTTTTAAAAGATAAGCTGTTTTTTGTTAAATTATTTGTAATTTCTGTTTTATATAAATGTTCCATAGATTTGTACATTTTATTTTTACAAATAACTCATATTTATCAAATGTTCATGAATGTAGAAAAAAAAGTCATGTTTTGCTGTATATTTATTAAATTTAAAATAATTGCATTATTGACTTTTTCATGAAAACTGGTACACATAATCTTCATACGTAATCAAATCAATGTCATTTTAAAAAAGAAGGGTCCATGATCTCGTTTTCAAGTTAAATCAGTTTGAATGATAAAAATCAGTCGAAAACTGCAACTTTTCCCGATAAGTCACAGTTTGACGGCGCGAGAATAACAATTTACGTTAGCAACGTCATTACTTCCCCTGTAACTGTATCGTATGCCATTAAGAGAGACGGAAGATACAAAAGGGATATAAAAACTAATAAGTCACGGAAGAAAAACTGACAAAGACATGACAAAAAAATGAGAGACGACGAAAAGACAAACAACAGTCTATAAACACAATGGAAAACCCTAGAGTGAGCAACAAGAACTTGATGTGAATCAATGCACCACGGCAGTGATAATCGTTGTGACTCCGGTAGGGTAAGTAGATCTTGCTCCACATGTGGCATCCTTCGAGTTTCTCATGCAAGTACAAGTTCTGTGATTTCTCTCCTTCAATAATTTCACTTTCAAGGGAAAGAGGACAGTTTGGAATATGAACATCCTAGTATCCGTCGTCATATCTGAATCAGATATTCCATAACGATCAACCTTATTTAAATGTTTGTCCTTCTTGCTTTCTTGCAAGATATAGAACTATGCCGTGTACTAAAATTGTATCAATTTCTACACGATTCAGTTTACGTCCGCTGTGTAGTTTCAGATTTGGGATTTGTGAATTAGAATCAAAGAAGGCATCTGTCAGCCATGTTTTTAAATTGATCTTATATAAATGAAAATTGCTTATGGCTTTCCATGAACGATCACGAATTCTTGCGAGTTTGGCTATATTTTAGTCCAATTTCCGGAGATGAAAATGTGAAAATTTTCTTGAAGAGACGGACGGACAGAAAGTGATGGCAATAGCTCAGATGGACCTTTTGGTCATTTCAGCTACTGTGGATTCATTTATTTTCGTGGGTATCAATTTTCGTGGATAGAGAAAAAAAGACGTTTCGTGGTATACGTAAATTCGTGGATCGCTGATTACAAAAAGAAAAAAAATCAGATACGTAATTCGTGGATTTCTTTTTAATTTAAGAGATCATATAACCTCCTTGGTTTGATCAATAATAAAACAAACAAAAAAGAAGGAATTCATTGAAAAAGTTTTGAATTGTCAAAATCCTCGCTTGGTCATTCTAGATTAAAGTGTTCATTGAAAAATTCTATTACAATAATGGACAGAGACAACTAATTACTTGTTTGTTTTACAATTTATAAATTCTTGTCGGAATTTTATAAGGCATTAAAAACTCTATGATTGAAAGCTCATTTCCCTAATCACGATATAATAAACAGTCATATAAGTAAAAGGTGTGAAAATAAATGTTCCTGTCATAAACAATGTTACCTACGGGCAATATCCACGTACTTAATCCTAGTGATTTTTAATCACCAGTAAACCACACTATGGCACGGTAATTAACAACTTTCAGTTATTTTCCATGAACAGTTTTATTCAATTTTAAAAAGTAAATTATCACTGATATTTATTATTGATTTAATCAAAATACTTGTATCTTCTTTTAATAAAAACACGTGTTATGTTACAATGTTTATCGATAGTCAACACTATACTAGAACTGCATAACATAACCGGAAATAAACATCCGATTCCATACACATTTCTCGGGATTATTCTTCGTTGAATTCTTAAATTCGTGGTTTGCTGTGACCCACGAAACCCACGAAAATTGGTATACCACGAATAAAAATGAATCCACAGTAATCAAATTTGGAAGGATGTCATTGAATCCTTATGATTTAAGTTTATTGCATTTCGTTTTATTTCTTTCGTTTCGTTTTGTTTCGTTCCGTACTTTATAGACACCCTGCTTTTTGTCTATAAAAGAGGTACGAAAGATACCAGAGGGACAGTCAAACTCATAGATCGAAAACAAACTGACAACGCCATGGCCAAAAATAAAAAGACAAACAGACAAATAATAGTACAGATGACACAACATAGATAAACCAAAGACTAAGCAACACGAACCCCACCAAAAACTGGAGGTGATCTCAGGTGCTCCGGAAGGGTAAGCAGATCCTGCTCCACATGTGGCACCCGTCGTGTTGCTTATGTTATTACAAATCCGGTAAATAGTCTAATTCGGTAAGTCACATTCGTTAAAAGGGAGGGTATTGTAGTTACGACATAAGGAACATATCCGATATCATCTGTGAAACGGTTATTCCATAACGGTCGACCAACTCGTGATGGCGTCCGTAAAATTTACGAAGGGATGATTTCAACTTCCCTATTTGGAACTCTTAGTTTAATAGCTTCCTTGTGAGCAGCAATCCTCTATCAAGGAAATAATGATATGAAACACAAGCCCGGGAATATCGTATCAATTGGGAGATATATACTCCGTATGCAGGCGCTGCTGGAATGATGCTACATAGAAATGGAAAGTTCACAATTGGGAAGCTGAAATCATCTCTTTTGTCGTAAAGTTTTGTTTTCAACCGACCCTCATTGTCAATTTCTATATGTAAGTCAAGATATGAGGCAGATTTAACTGAATCTGTAGTATCCTTTATCTCTAGTTCGATGAGATAAATTCGTTCAACATAGTCACCAAATTTTGTAATATTTAGTGAGAGAACATCATCTATATAGCGGAACGTAGAGTTAAAGGATATTGCTAACGTCTTTTATCTTTCTTCCTAAGAAGTTCCTGTATGAAGTCAGCCTCATAATAATAAAGAAACAAGTCGGCAAGAAGAGGGGCACAATTGGTTCCCATTGGAATTCCGACAGTCTGTTGATAAACACCTCCAAACGTAACAAATATGTTGTCAATCAAGAAATCAAGCATCTTGATAATGTCAGTTTCAGAGAATTTTTTGTTTGAATCAGAGTGATTCTTTACAAAGTAAGATTTATTCCTCCCCAAGACAAGATACTTGTATCAACGTTCGCCATTCTTTTTAATGAAACAAAGTAATACCATCTCTTTCAATTTGTCTTTTAGTTTGGAATGGGGAATACATGTGTAAAGTGTAGAAAAAGTCAAATGTTTTAATTCTATTGCAAGATGAGAGAGTCTTAGATTGTATGTACTCTAAAAGATCTTTGGAATTTTTTAGTATCCACATCTGATTCACGCCACCTCTAGAATAGGCATTTCACAATAACTTTGGAGCCCGGCTTTGATTTCTGATAAAATAGATGTTAATAATTTAGAAAGAGGTTTCGTGGAGCACTTGAAAAACCCAGCAATATACCGTTGTTTGTAAGGACACTTATATAGTTTAGGTATCCAATACAGTGATGGAAGATCCAGTTCTTCATCTTTGGTTGAAATTCCAAAGGAACATAGAACAGACATATGATTATCCAGGATTTCCTCTTTAGTAAGTGTCGTGAGGGTATATGTTGAGTTTCCAAGTGAATTGTCAATACCTAATTCATTTATCAATCAGTTTATGTAATGATATTTACACACAAAAACGATGTTGTTTGAGGCTTTATCTGCGGGGACAACAACATATTTGTCATGGAGGTAGGACAAGTGTTTTGCTACATTTGGGTCTTTAAAAATTGACGTAGCGTGGGTATTGATATGCCCATTTAGTTTCTTAATTCGGATTTGTATCAACGACCTCACAGCCTGGGGTAGGAAATCCTTAAAATAATGTAAAAATCTGAAAGTTTTTTTTACAATCAATTTATAACTTTGACCACACAAATGATAATTCATGTCAACAAAGAAGTGCCAATACATGAATCCCAAACTGACATCCACTAAACTATGAGAAAGGACAAAAAATAC